TGGCACATTGATGTGTCTTGTTTCAGAGATTCAAACCTTGTCAAGGACCTAGGATTTTCTATTTCTCCACTTGCTTTCTGCCTAATTGATTCTCTCATCAGGTAGGCTTCACCCATTGGTGGCATAATGGAAAACTTTGGATTCAGGCTCATATCCTCACAGCTGAAAAATCAGTAGAAAATAGAGAGTGTTCCTATCTCTCAAAAGTTCTAGTAAATGTGTCAAGGTTGGGTATCCTTGACTTTATTTGGATCAAATTGTTCATCCTTGATTCAAACATCATGGCCATGAATGAAATCAATACCATCTAAACTGCTCTGACTGAGAATGAGGGAGGACTGGCTCTCCAGATGCAAACCTCCATATGCAGAGGACGGTGGCAAAGACATGAATAACCTAAAACTGCTATGGCCCTCTCTGAAGAATAATATACTATAGTACAGTAATACAAATTGAACATCTGATATTAGGATGAAGATCGTCTAGGGACCCTAACTTAGGAAGAGAGGATAACCAAGCTTAGCCTCTCTTTCCGGTGTGTGACCCCTTACAGATACTAAATTATTAACATTTGCATTTCTAAAATAAAAGCATATGTGCATTAAAAAAACGCTTTATTTTAGAATAGTTTTAACTTTACAGAAAAATGATGAAGATAGTACAGACAGTTCTCATACTCCCCACACTTACTTTCCCCTATTGTTAATATCTTACATTATGGTAATCGTATACTTGTAACAGTTAATAAGCCAATATTAATACATTATTATTAGGCAAAGTCCAAAATTTTCTTAATTCTCACCTAATGGCCTTTTTCTCTTCCAGGAGCCTAGCTAGGATACCACATTACATTTAGTTGTCATGTCTCCTTAGGTTAGTCTTGGCTGTAACATTTTTTCAGATTTTCCCTTGTTTTTTTAATGACCTTGGCAGGTCTGTTAAGGTGTTTTTTTAAATTTATTTTGAGGGGCGCCTGGGTGGCTCAGTTGGTTAAGTGCCGACTTTGGCTCAGGTGATGATCTCACAGTTTGTGGGTTCGAGCCCCACTTCAGGCTTTGTGCTGAATATTTGCTCAGAGCCTGGAGCCTGCTTCGGATTCTGTGTCTCCTTCTCTCTCTGCCTCTCCCCTCACACTCTGTCTTACTCTGTCTCTCAAAAATAAATAAATGTGTAAAAATTTTATTTTGAGAGAAAAAGAGAAAGAGAGAACATGTACCAGAAAGAGTAGGGAAGGGGTAGTGAGATGGAGGGAGAGAGATAATCCCAAGCAGGCTCTGTGCTGTCAGCACAGAGCCCAACACAGGGCTCAGTCTCACAATCTGTGAGATCATGACCTGAGCTGAAATCAAGAGTAGACGCTTAAATGACTGAGCCACCTAGGCACTCACGATGTTGTACATTTTGACAAGTATTTATCAAATATTTTGTAGAATCTGCCTCAGTTCGCTGTTTGATGTTTTCCTCATGATTATACTGGGATTATGTTTCTTGTGAAGAAGACTTTACCACACAGGTAAAGTACCATTTATTTATATATACCATATCATGTCAAGGGTGCAAACCATCAACATGACTTGTCTCTGTTGATGCTGACCTTGATCACCTGCCTGAGGTAGTGTTTGACAGATCTCTCCATTTTAAACTTAGTTGTTCTCACTGTCTTTACCGGAAGTTTTGGACGGAAGTCATTGTGTTTAGCCCACAGTTAAGGATAGGAGATATGCTCCACTTGTCCTTTGAGGAGGAAGTGACCACATAAATTATTTGGAATTTTTTTGGGCAGAAGTTTTGTCTCTTCTCCCTCACTTCTTTATTGATTCGATCACTATATCTGTATAGACGTTTATTTTATTCTTTGGGTTATAATCCAGTTCTAGTTTATTGTGTTGCTTGGGTTGTCCCAGCTTCGGTCATTGGTAGCTTTTTTGGTTGCCTCCTGTGTCCATCTAACAATCACACCATTGTGGGTTTTCTTATTTATTTTTTGAGCACTTTCAGGCTTCCTAGCACAAGATGCTCCAGACTCATTGTAAGTATTTCCTGCCCCAGTCCTAGAACCAGGTATTTCTCCAAGGAGCCCTGGTTCCTTTAATTGGAGAGTGGTATTTAGAGACTAAGATCTGGGTGTGAGGTGTGCTCAATATGTACATTTTGTTAAAAAGTAAAATTATTCTAAAAGGCTTGTAAGTAAAAAAAAAAAAAAAAAGTCAATATCTTTCCTATTCCTTCCCACAGAATGTAAATTCTTTTGAGATTTTTCTTCTTTTTTCCCTTCCATATTACTAATAATGTGCATTTACTGTTATTATTTGATCACTTTGATTACCATCTATTGACCTCCTGAAGGGTGAGTAGGGTTTGGCTTTCTTGAACCCCCATTCCGCTTGCTCCCTGCCCATCTTCTCAATGTATTCCCATCACAATTTTGTGTTAAACTAGTAGCCAGAGTTTACATTATGACTGTACAACTATCTTTCCCATTGAGCAAATGTACTCCAATTTCATATTGTACAATATTTAGCGTTTCCTGATTGTAATAATTGTCTCCTGTTTTCCTTTTATTAATTTCCCAAGTGTTTATCAAAATTCATCTTAAAGGATTCAAGCCCTTTCTATAAAAGACTTATTAGATCTCTTTTCAAAAATGCCTAAATGCATGAGATAATCTATCTATTACACTCACCACAGCCACTGCCAACCTTATTCCTCTGTCTTTCTGCTCCAGCCTGGTTTGCTTATTGTGGTAACAAGTTTGCAAAGATGCTTCCCCTTCACCTCCAGTGAACTTCCTGCTATTCACACCCTTGTATTGTTCCCTCTACTTGAATCCAGGATGGGCTTCTGGTTTTTTTTTTTTAAGCATATTTATTTGAGAGAGAGAGAGTGCATATAAGTGGGGGAGCAGGGAAGGGGCAGGGAGAGAGAGATAGAGAGAGAATCCCAAGCAGTTCCTGCACTGTCAGCACTGAGCCCTACATGGGGGCTCAATCTCACATCATGACCTGAATTGAAATCAAGAGTTGGATGTTTAACTGACTGAGCCACCCAGGCGTCCCTGGGACAGCCTTCTTTTTGGCCAATCAAATGAAGTGGAAATGTTACTGAATCACATGTCAGTTTAGGTCATAACCTTTGCATCTTCTTCCTGAGCCTGTTGGAATGCTCACTTTTGAGAAAGCCAGATATTATGTAAGAAATTCATTTACGTTGAGACTGCTCTACTGAAGGAAGCCCAAGATGCCTGTGGAAAGGCCATATGGAGGCTCAGGGGCGCCTGTCCAGCTACTAGGTCTTCTCTTCTAGTCATCCTATCAATTTACTAGACATGTGAGTAAAAACGCCATCTTGGGTATTGTCTTTGTATCTTTTTCATATTGAAGATTTTTCCCCAAATGTCTCAGATCCTTAGTTGCCTATTCATATTTAAAAGAAACACTAAAAACTAATTAGGAATGCTGCCTACATGACTGAGCCTCATGAACTGGTGACTTTATTGAAGGGGAACTGTGCTGGTATTGTTGGGGAACACCTAAATACCAATATCTGTAAGTGTTTTATTAGGACCATCCAGTTTATCCAGAGACTAAATTCCCCACTTTTCCAGGAAGAGGATTCCACAGTTCAGTGGGTATTTGGGGGGAACATTTTCTATGAATCCTTCTATTTTCATCCTTTCCCCCTGTTTTTCTAGATTCTCTGAGTGTAGAGCCTCATCCAATGTTGAATGTCTGAGACTCATTTGGATGGTTACAATCAAATGAGGATTTTTCTTTTTTAATCTAGAGCATTTGGGCATCCTTAAATTTCCTCTCTGGAGCTGGTGATGTTCTGGCTGGCCACTGGTATGGTGGGTCTCATGGCTGCATTACCCTAAGGATCACAGGCCAAAGGAGGGTGTCATGATCAAGAGCATAGACTTTGGGATCAGGGACACTTGGGCTTGAGTTGTGTTTACATCTTCTTGGCTGTCGATGTCATTTATATAGCTCCCTTAAACCTCTGTTTCCTCATCTGTTAAATGGGAAAAAATACCTATCTCTTAGTGTTGTGAGAATTAAATAATACATCTGTATCATGTAGTGGAGTGCCTGGAATATAACTATTCAGTAACCAATGATGATGATCTAAATTTATATTAGAAAATGTATCTAGTTGATTTGATTCCTCCTCTAACTGGTTCTGTGGTCTTGGATAGATCACTGAAGCTATAGGGTCCAGAGGGCTATGAATGTCATCTCACCCAAGCCTTATAATCTGGCTCCTGAGCTATCTTTTATGCTCTTCATCAGTAAGTGATAAAGAATTCACTAAAAAATGGTAGAATTGGGTCTTGACCTTGGGCTTGTTTGTTACCTGAGCGTGTCCTCTAACGACCACAGTAGGCTTCCTCTATTGAATTCTTCCTTCCTTGTCTAGTAAATTCTAATGGTGATTTTGGCTTATGTGATGGTTGATTGCAGCCTTGCCTTTTTTTTTTTTTTTTTCAATTATCAGAGTAAAGGGGCCAACGTTATAAGTGACGGAGAACCAGGTGATCCAGGTAAAGGGAGCAGAGCCAAGTTCCAGTCTAACTTTCCTTTGGCCCCTATGAGGAGTTCATGTTTAAACTGCAGCCAATGAGGTGAATTCAGTGCATTTTATGGCAGGCTAGACAGGAGCAGGAGGGACTGTAGCTCATGCACAGCTCATACATGCACATACCCACAAGCACATGCATGGATGCTAACACACAGATAGGAAATCTCTTGATACATGCGGACAAAGGAATACAGGCACAACCTTACTACCAATCCACACATTTCCACATACACACGGTCAGGAGAAAGCGCTCAGTACATTTTATCATACATCTCTTGAGGGAGACTATTCAGGAGGGAGGAAAGGGAAGATTATGAGGCAGAAAGAGAAATGAAACTAAAAGGTCCTGCCCTGTCAGCACTAACTGGAGTATAAAAAATGGGCTTTGGACAGACAGACAGACTCTTGGGGCCCACCAACAGTCAAAATGTCCAAAGGGCCTCTTATTCTCTGGCTGCTGATTGAACTTGGGCGGCTTTCTCTGAGTAAGTGTTCCGAATCCTTCCATGTAGGAGTCCTTGGAGAGCTTGGCATCCTGTGATAGATTTTCACAGGTGATTAGGCCTTAGTAGAGCAGAAGCTTGCTTCATTCTTGATTCCTTCTGGGTTTTTTTGTTTGTTTGTTTGTTTGTTTGTTTGTTTTTTGCCTTTGGAGGGTCTCTGCCCTTCCTAGTTACACAGGATTTTATCTTAAGACTGGTTTTAGAGTTTTAAGGTGGGGTAATTTGTATTCATATAAGAGATGACAACCAGGGGGCCCCTGGGTGGCTTAGTCAGTTAAGTGTCCAACTTTGGTTCTGGTCATGATCTGACAGCTCGTGGGTTTGAGCCCCATGTCGGGCTCTGTGCTGACAGCTAGCTCAGAGCCTGGAGCCGGTTTCGGATTCTGTGTCTCTCTTTCTCTGGCCCTCCCCTGCTCACACTGTCTCTCTCTCAGAAATAAATAAAACATTTTAAAAAATGACAGCTTAAGAAGAAGCACAAAATAAAGGGTCAGATGAAATGGGGAAAAGAAATTTCCTCTGCAGGTGTCATTAGCATAGTTGGAGGCAGGGAAATTCTTCTGCGGATGCTCTTATTATAATTCGTATTTTTCTCTTTATTTTCAGGAGTTTTAGTTTGCTTTTTGTTTGTTTTATTTTGCTGGGCATGAGGCTTCATCCCTCACCAGAAAGGTGAGGTTTATTGTTTCCGTGTTTTGGACGATGCAAAGGCACACACTCAGTTTGGGCCAGTTTAGACTTCTGTGTTCTGGTAGCATAGGGCAAAATGCTTCTCACTGAGCTGCAGTTGTGTCTCAGTTACTAACCATTAACAATGGAAACATGTCTAAATTGCTCTGACTTTTCTATGTATGAAATGAGGGAGCCAGTTAAGACGAGTTTGAACAATCCATGATTCTAGAACTAGACAGTATCTAATATCCCTAGCAGTTTTCAAATTTAGTACCTATTTGCACATGATATCTCAAATGTGCTGCCCGTGAAAGCACTTACATTCCAAGGAAAACAAGTGTGTTCTCTCTACCCTTCAATCCTTTGTCATGCTGTCTCCCCCCTCCCCCTGCTTTTCTTTTCTCTGTAACTGCATGCATTATCAGGTCTCCACCCAAGTCAGGCTTTTCCTGAGCACCCAGAGCCTCTGGACAGGTTTAGGTGATTCTGCTATGAATTCCTGTCTTCCATGGAGTCATCCGTCACAGAAGTTGTCACCTTGTAGTAATTGATCATTTAACTGCCTCTCTTCCTAGATACTCTGTAGCAGTTAATGGAATGAAGACAGTTCCTGTCACCTTCTTTATCAGTGTTTTCAGTGGTCTTTATTGTGTCCTGAGTAGTTGAGGTGTGGAGATTTTATTCTGTTGGAGGTTACTGGAGTCCATGACCACATTTCCTGCTCCTGGCTGGACACTGACTGGGCTTCTCCAATCCTCCATGAAGGAAGCAGCACCTAGTGAACTGTCTGTTTTTTTTTTTATTTGTGCTTTTTCCAAAATGATCAATTTAGAAGAGAGTGACTGCTCAGAATCACCAAGGATCAATCAGGCTGGATATTCTTAAAAGATGCAGAATGAAACTCATTCCTCAGTAAATAAATAGTGAAACTGGGACCCCAGTTGGGGAAGGGATCACTCCTGAGGTCACCACTTGGAGAAGGAACCAAGCTGGCAACAGAACCTAGGTTTTACCTACCGTCCTGGGTAATTCCCGGAAAGGGAATTTGATTATCAGTGATTCTTTTGCTCCAAGATACTTTTGTAATGGCAGGCCACAGCTTCTTGTCCTATTTCTAAATTCTGAAATGCTTGGTTACTTGTGCTAATAGTTTATTAATTTCATGTGGCATTTGATACTTCATTGCATGTAAACCTCAGAACTATTTCTGAACCAAGTATTATAGATCCTCTTTGCTTTAGATGATAATGAGGTCAAGATTATGGTGGCTTTCCCCCAAGAACACAAAAGTCTTAACTAGCAGAATGAAGTTTACAGTGTAGGCCTAGTGGGTGTTTTTCTGCCACACCAAATTGCCTGCTCCCTTTTTTTTTTACTATTAACTTTTAATCCAATCAGTAATACAGAAACACCCTAGGTGAAAAAAAAACAACAGCATTACAAAGCTAAAATCCCTTTGACTACTCTCTCCAGCCCCAGTTCCTTTCCCCTGATCGCAGAGGCGACTGGCACAGTGAGTGGTGTGTATATCCCATCAAACACTTTTCTATGCATATACCTTCATATGTCTGTGCCCACAGACAAAAAAAATGCAAATTGTCTTATTTATTTTATATGATGGTTTTATATTTTATGTATTGTTTTGACTTTGTCCTTTTTATACATTGATAAGGCTTGGAGTTTTCATGTCAACTGATAAAGATCTCTCTACTTCTAATAACCTTGGAATGATTACATGGAAGGAATGATTCATTCATGTTTCCATGGAATGCATGTACTACAGCTTTGCCATTCCCCATATACATTATTCATTTCATTCACATGAAATGTATGAAAGGTGCAGCAAACTTTTGCAAACAGGTTTCCCTGTGCACGTATTTTTTTTGTAGGGTAGATAGCAAAGCATGAAATGGCTAAGGCTTAGCTAGGATACATGCATATTCAGTATTAATGGAAACTGCCAAATTGCCCCACAGTGTGGCTATACCAGTTAAACCCCCATTTCATTCCAATGTACTCTAGCAGTCTATGTCATTTCCTAAGTCCCTGTCTGGCCAACTTTGATATTATTGGCATTCTAAATTTTTGCCAGTCTTGCAGGTGAAATTTACTGGCTTCTTGTATTTCCTTATCTATGCCTGTTATGTCTTCTGTCAATTTTTCTATTGGGAGTTTTCTTACTGAATAGTGGTATGCCTCTTTCTATAGTATGATACTAGACAAATGAGCTGTTGAATCTCCATCAGAAATAATTCCTGCATATATTCTAAATGAATTTTCCAAATATTTTTAGGAATAAGCTGATATTGAAAAGGTTATTAGTTTTAGATGCATACGTTCTGATGGTAATATAGCTAAAGGTGATGACCATGAATGTCTTATTTATTTGTTTATTTATTTATTTATTTTTCCTTGTTTCATGGTGGGTTAAAGACTTCTAGAGCATTTACAATCACTGAAACATTTTCACTACAATGAAGTGAATAAACTGTGATTTCAGGGAAGGCTCCAGGCTGGTCTGAATTTGGTTTGTGCTTCCCTTATTTTAGAGAAGGATGTGGGGATGTTCCTGATACCTCGGTCAGAGAGGAACCTGGTGCTGCTGGCCATGTGCTATATAACTCAGCCAAATGGGCCACCAAAGCTAGTGAATGGAGAGTCTCATAGGAAGGTATCTTGGAGAAACCAATAAGCAGGACCTAGGTACCCTAGAGAAAGCAGGATGGAGCCCTGATGATCTGGAGCTTCAACCTGTCTTCAGTAGCAATTTTTTGGGAGGGTTTAGAACACTTGCTGATGTTCAACTAAACCAGTGGGCTTAACATTTGCAGCACTGAAAATGTTTCACAGGTTCTTAGAGATGGAAGTAATCTTAGAGGAGCTTGTCCACCGGGCTTCAAATACTGGGTGACTAGCAAGTGATATCAGAATTATCTGGAGAATTTCCATGGGCCTTGGCCTCAGAGATTCTGATTCAGGGTTGGGCAATAAAATTTGCATTTTTAACAACTTTCCCAGGTCATGCTGATGAACAGGCAAAGCTGGGAAATAGGACTGCTTCATTTTAGGAATAGTGACAACTTCCATCTCACACAGCTCATATGGGAAAACTAACCCTTGGCATTTTTGTATGTCATAGATGCCATTCTTTCTAATTCTTGTGGTTCTTTCCAGTTTTTAAAAAATTTAATGTTTATTATTTTGAGAGAGAGAAAGAGAGCACAAGCAGGGGAGAGTCAGAGAGAGGGAGACAGAGTCTGAAGTAGGCTCCAGGCTCTGAGATGTCAGCACAGAGCCTGACGGGGGGCTAGAACTTAGGAGCTGTGAGATCATGACCTGAGCTGAAGTCAGACGCTCAACCGACTGAGCCACCTAGGCACTCTGGTTCTTTCCAGTTTTAACACTAAAAAAGTTTTCAAACTCCACTTAGCTTCATATTATCTAACAACAAATAAATGGTCCAGAGCAATTAATTTCTAGATCCAGTACTGAAAGGAGAGAAGGAAAATGGAGCGTAGTTCAAAGCCTATCTTACTGCCACAGCATTCTCTGGGTTGGAAAATGGGAGGAGTCCTAAGCAGTCAGGTCATTAGTACATGGTCACTGCTTCTTGAGGATACACTGGGTAGAGTGCTAGTTCTGGATGTGTTTACATGAGTTAGTGGAATTAAAGAGTTGGATTTTTCATTGGAAAAGTTATTGGTTTATTGGAATGGTAGTCAAGAACTTAGTTTTAAAATCAGCAAAAAGGTCTTATTATGGAGATATGTTCATACTCTCAGGTGGGTCAGCTGTCTCCAACTGAGGGACAAAAGGGTGTGGAGTTAGGGACTCAGCATCAGCTAAGGGCACATCACAATTTAGGCTAACAAATTATACCTAATGACCCTTTTCATCTTCCTGGAAGCGTCTATCTGCACAAACATCATGTAGTATATTTGAGAGATTTTAGTACTGCACAGCCGTAATTTTTCTCATCTTTTCTCACAATTCCAGCTACACCAGAGACTGTGAGAGGGTATTTGGGTCAGTCGGTGACCTTGCCCTGTAAGTACTCTTCCTGGTCTGAGAGCAGCAACAGCATGTGCTGGGGCAAGGGGCAGTGTCCCAAATCCAAATGCAACAATGAGCTTCTCCACACTGATGGGATGAGGGTGCTGTCCAGGAAGTCATCAAAATATGAACTCCAGGGCAATATCCGAGAAGGCAATGTCTCCTTAACCATCCTCAACACGAACGAAGGTGACAACAGTGTATACTGCTGCCGCATAGAGGTCCCTGGCTGGTTCAATGACATGAAAAAGAACATTCGCCTGCAGCTGAGGAGAGGTGTGTACATGAAGGGGTTTGTGTCTGTGGAAGGAGAGATTTAACAATTAATGGGGAATGGATTCACTGGGTGGTGTTGGGAAGCTGTAGGTGCTTAAGACTGAGGGGCAGATTAATTTTAAGTTGTGTTGCTATGACTAGAGGAGCCACAGCATAGAACAAATACCCATGGGGGCCAAGAAGACCACAGAAATGAGTGGGCAGGGGGTGCATGGGAAGGGCACCAGTGAACTGCAGGGTCAGTCTTCAGAGGACATCTGCTTCTTATCTATGAGATTGTTGCTTTGAAGAAATATGTACACAGTGTTTTCAGATTCCCCAATTTTTATGTATGTGACTTTGATTTTTGTATGTTGGCAAAGAGTTTTAAAAAATACCATATAAATTAAATAAAATGTGTCCATGGGTCAGCTTCAGCCCATAAGCCAAAATTTGAGACTTCCAGCAGAGGGGAGACTTGGAGACAATCACAGTAGTTTTCAAGTGGCCGTTCCTTCTGTTACTGTCCGTTGCTTTTGATGAAACTGGAATGTGGTGGAATTCTTAAAGATTTTAGCTGCATGCAAGGCAGTACGGTTGAATTACACTAAAAGTAATCACCTTTCCTGCTTGTCTGGAATGGTGGCTCTCAGAGAAAGCTTTATGTTCAAACTGTATGAAAGATGGAGGATTATTAGGGCACCTCAGTGGCTCAGTCAACTGAGCATCCAACTCTTGGTTTTGGCTCAAGTCATGATCTCATAGTTTCATGAGGTTCATCAGCTCTGCGCTGGCAGTGTGGAGCCTGCTTGGGATTCTCTCTCTTTCTCTCTCTCTCTCTCTCTGCCCCTGCCTCCCTCACACTATCTCTGTCTCTCTCAAAATAAAGAAATACACTTAAAAAAAAAGAGAGATGAGGGATTCTTGTGCTTTGTTTCTGACTGGGTTGGCAACTTGGAAGGCAGGGTCATCTGCTTATAGCCACGCATTTAACAGGAATCTCAGGTGACTCCAATACACTCTAAAATTCAAGAACAACTTATGTGGATGCTTCTCATTAGAGAACTTTCACACACATTAGTATATTTTTCTTTTAAAGTGACTTTGTGATAGGAAAGGTATTTTTCTGATTTAATGTCTTTTTATTGAAGTTAAATGATGCTAATCCAAGTCTTCTCTTTTCAAGCCTGATATAACCAGCTATTATTTTATAAAAAACTTTTTGAACTCAATATCTATGGGTCATTTCTAAGCTCATTGGAATCTGTTAGAGTTCATTGAAATTTGGCATATTTAAAAGAGGGTAGCATATGTAGAATAACTGTGGCTGATTAACCCAAATTCAAATGTTAGGGGGTGAGTGGTGTTGGCATGAACTTGTATTTAATATACGAAAGAAACTACATTCTCATGCCATGTTGTATACTTTGGACTAATTTTTTATTTAGGTTTTAATTTTATTTCATTGTGGAAAGAACACCTATGGTGAATTCTGCTCACTTAACAAATTTTCAAGTATACAACATATTATTGTGGACCATAGGTACGATGTTGTACAGCAGAACTCTAGAGCTTCTTCATCTTGCTTGACTGAAATGTTATGTTTGGGCTCACTTTTGATGCAATTATTCATTTGCTCACTGATGCAATCTTTTTGGAATACCTACCATGTGCCCAACATTGTGGTAGGTATTAGATTTGTAGCAGAAACAAAATAAACACCAGATTTTCCCTTATGGAGCTTACAGTCTAGTGGGAGAAGCAGGTGTTCAACTATAATCATAAAATAAAATGTGCAGTTATGAAGTGCAATAAAGGCTGTGAGGGTAAAGTATAGAGTGCAAAACTCAGAAACCTAACTGATTGCAGAATATGTGTGACCTCATTGCAACAGTGTGTCCTTTTAGCTGAGACATGAGCGTTCAGTAGAAGTGAGTCTAATGAAGAGAAAGGCTAGGAAGCAACAGGTACAATGTCCCTCCAGTGTGAGGTCACTGTTTAGAGAGGTGAAGAAAAGCCAGTGGACTTGAGAAAAGTGAGAAGAGTAAAGTGGAGACCTGAGATTATAAAGAAAGAACCAGATCAGGTGGAATTCTTATGGGCCAAGATTGGGGGTTGGGTTCTTCATCTCAAAGGCAAAGAGGACCCAGTAAAATCTTTTAAGCATGGGACCAACATAATTATTTGTCATTTTAAAAGATTGTTCTAGCCAGTGTGTGAAGAGCATATTGGAAAGGTCAAGGGTAGAGGCAAGAAACCCAACTTTCATGGGCATTCTGGTGGTCCAGGCCAGTGGACCAGACGAGAGCAGCAGAAACAAAGAGGAATGGACAGCTCCCCACATATTTGTACAGATGTATCTTGTATCTTCCACCGCTTACAGCCCCAACAACCAAGGGCTCAACAACATATCTCCCAAGAACCACCACTGCCATGACGACAACCACGGTTGTGCTTCCAACAACAGCTGTGACTACACCTGAGCTCACAACCAGAACACCACTTCAGACTACACTAACAACAGTGGCAACCACATGCCCCTCAACAATATCGACCTTTCTTCCTGAAGCAACCACAGTTCTTCAGACCACTGAGCCTTCAATGGGAGCACCCGCCTTCACTACAGGTACATGGTACATTGGCCATTCTTTCCCTTCTGCTGGTCAGATGTATCTTGGGTCCCTTGCAACTGGGTTCTTTTACCAAATGGGGCAGTTTAGAGACTTGCTTGTGTGTGTGTGTGTGTGTGTGTGTACTTGTTTGCTAGGGCTGTCATAAAAAAGCCACAGACTAGGGGGCTAAAACAACAGAAATTTATTTTCTCACAGTCCTGGAGGCTAGAAGTTTGAGACAAAGGTCAGTATGATTAGTTTCTTAGCTTATAAGTGGCCACCTTCTTTCTGTGTCTTCACATGGTCTTCCCTCTGTGTCTGTGTCCTAACCTTATTTTCTCATAAGGATGTCAGTCATACTGAATTAGAGTCCACCTAATTTTACTTAATTACTTCTTTCTTCAAATAAGGCCACATTTTCAAGTATTGGGGGTTAGAATTTCAACATATGAATTTTGGGGAATATAGTTCAGTTTATAATTGTATGTGTGTATGTGGTTTCATTAACTTTTTCCTTTTCTTTGTTTTATGGTTTCCTCCCCCCCCACCCCCCATTTTTTCCATGTTTTTTTTGAAAGTCAGATATTTTGGTTCTCCAGTTGACCTTCCTGAAATCTTAGAGATATTTCTGGAACAGCCAGGAAATGTCACCTGGGATGATACTCCAGTTTCATTCTTCCAGGGGTTAAGTCTCTGTCTGGACATTCAAGATTGGTTGAGGAAAGGCCTCCAGATGCCTTAAAATCCCTTGATGATGAACTAGTTCTACTCTTGTTTCTTTCTTCCTCTTTCCTTCCCTCTTTCAATCTCTCCCTCCCTTCCATTCTTTTCTTCTTTTTTCCCTCTCTGGCCCTTCCCCCTTAAGTCCTTTTTTGATCCTCCATCTTGGACCCTCATTGAGTTACTAGCCCCATTACTTATAGGGCTTAGCAAAGGTTCTGCCAAGTTTCAACCTCTGATACCAAGGTAAGGCTATTGGAAACTCATTAAGAGATAGAGTTTTGCTTGATCCTAAAAAATTACTTGCAATCCTTGAGGAAAACCTGAAATATATAAAAAAATTACAAAGACAAGTATAAAAATAGCCCTGCATCCCACCACTTAGCACAAACACTTATTTTTTTAGCTCTCTTTTATCAAACCTTTTTTATATTCCAAAATCAGAAACTTTCTTTCTCTCCAGTGACTCTGAGAGAAGCACCAAGGTGACCTCTGGAAACATTGCTTTGCTTACATACAGAGATATGAGGACACTTTCTCTTTCTTTTCCTCATTTCTTGGGTTGAGGAGAGTAAGATGTATTGAATGAGATGATTGAAGATGAGTTTTGGGTCCTGTGTGCCATGAACCCCTCCTAGGACAAATTGGACAGCATTTGTGGTTCATTCATTCTTGTGGCTTTGAGAGAGAAAGGGGGAGGGGAGAAAGAGAGAGACAGACAGACAAAAAGAGAGAGAGAGACAGAGAGAGAAAGACTGACCTTGATTTGTTTAAGCAACTCCTCATGGTAGCACATTTCTGGAATACTTGCCTTTCCATTCTAGGTGAGGTGGTGCTTAGCTGTCTCCTTCTAATTCCCAGTACAATGATCTTTGTTGACTCCTTTGAGGAACATCCTCATTTGATCATTGACTTTCTATAGTAGAGGGAGAAATTCTTTCATTCATGTGATCTTTCCATTCATCAAGCCTACTTTAGGTATTTAATAGGGACCCAAGGGCAGAGAATACCCTAAAATAAGACACAATTTACATCCATGGCAGTGCTAGAGAAGTGCCCAGGCTGGGCTCCCTATTCTACTCCTTTTTGCCTGGGGTCTCTGGCCTCAGCTTATTTCCCAGGTGAATTGGAGAGTTATACAACTTCATGCATATAATGGCCTTAAGTGAGTGCCTAGTATGTTAGTAAGTGCTCAAATGGTAGATTTTACTTAATGGGGTTTATAATCAAGTAGAAGATGGAGTAAATAAATTAATCAGCTCTTGTGTTAATACAATATAGGGAGGCAGTACAGCAGGGTGGTTCATGTGTGTGCTCTGGTGTCATGATGCCTGGGTACAAGACCTGCTTCTTAACTGCTGTATGACTCTAGGAAAGTTATTTAATCTCTTTGGGTCTTGGCTTCCTCATTAGTAAAATGGGAATAATAATAACGCCTATCCTCTGTCTATTTCTGAGGATTAAATGAGAGGATACTTGTAGATCATTTAGGACAGTGTCTGGCATGAACTAAATGCTCCATAGATGTTAGGTCTTCTTCTTCTTCTTTTATTTATTTATTTATTTATTTATTTATTTTTTTAATGACAGAAGTTAGTTTAGGGGACAGTGGGGCACCAAAAATAAAAAAGACAAATTTTTACCTAAGTTTGTTTTGTTTTCTCTTTTCCTTTTTAAATTTTTTTCCCAGAGTCTGAAGGTTGGGTTCTCCAGTCAACATCCCAAGCATCAATGTGGGAAACGAGTGAATCAATGACTTTTCCTCAGCCAAGAGGTAAGGGGCTACGCTCCTGAGGGTGGTTTTGTCTTTGACCTTGAGAACAATCTGTCTTCTGCCATCTGCTTGCTTGTCTTGGGATTTGGCTATTTCGGTCTCACTGTGGTCACATCCTACATCTTCCCACAAGCTGGGAAAGTGAAACCAGCTAACAGCAGCCATGTTGGCTTCTTCCTTCCTCTGCCTCACTTCTGAAACTCCTTTGTTGGGATTTGCCTTGTTCCTTAGCTGCTTCTGTCTTGAAGCTAGAAATGCCAGAAAGTCATCCATTCATTTAAAAAATTAGTAATTTATTGTAAATTACACATATATTACACTAATGTATTTTTTTTTTAGTTTTTTCCTCTTTTTTTTTTAAAATAGTTTATTGTCAAATTAGTTTCCACATAACACTCAGTGCTCATCCCCACAAGTGTCCTCCTCCATGCCCATCCCCCCCCCCCCCCCCCAACCATCAGTCCTCAGTTTTTGTCAGCATTCAAGAGTCTCTCACGGTTTGCCTCTCTCCCTTTCCCCCACCAATTCTGCCCTTCTTCTCCCCCTTGTTCCTCCGTCAAGTTCCTCCTAATCCTCCTATACGTGCAAACATATGATATTTGTCCTTCTCTGCCTGACTTATTTTGCTCAGCATAACACCCTCAAGGTCCATCCATGTTGCTACACATGGTCAGATTTCATTGTTTTTCATTGCCATGTAGTATTCCATGGTATAGATAAACCACATCTTCTTGATCCATTCATCTGTTGATGGACACTTAGGCTCTTTCCATGTTTTAGCTATTGTGGAGAGTGCTGCTATGAACATTGGGGTACATGTGCTCCTATGCCTCAGCATTTCTGTATCCCTTGGGTAAATTCCTAGCAGTGCTATTGCTGGGTCCTAGGGGAGTTCTATTGTTAGTTTCCTGAGGAACCTCCACACTGTTTTCCAGAGGGGCTGTACCAGTTTACATTCCCACCAACAGTGTAGGAGGGTGCCCGTTTCTCCACATCCTCGCCAGCATCTAGAGTTCTCTGATTTGCTCATTTTAGCCACTTTGACTGGCTTGAGGTGGTATCTCAGTGTGGTTTTGATTTGTATTTCCCTGATGAGGAGGGATGCTGAGCATCGTTTCATGTGTCTGTTGGCCATCTGGATGTCCTCTTTGGAGAAGTGTCTGTTCATATCTTCTGCCCATTTCTTCACTGGGTTGTTTGTTTTTCGGGCGTGTAGTTTGGTGAGTTCCTTATAGATTCTGGATATTAACCCTTTATCTGATGTATTTTTGTTAGGGATACATAACAAGTAGAAAAAAGATCTCTTTGACTCCCTGTCTTTAATCCCAGCCTGTCCTCTGATATAATCACTGCTATTAGTTAAAGAGGACTGTTCCTCAGATCTTTTTCTATTTGCTTATGTGTGTGTATAGAAATACACAGTTTTGTTTTGTTGTGTGAATTAAAAAGAATTCTATCATACTGTATGCAGCCTTCTGTATTTTGTTTTATTCACCAAACATTATATGCTGGACTACTTTCCTTTCCAGTCCATGTAGATATACATCATTACTTTAAATTGATGTATAGTATTTTATACTATAGATACTTGTAACATCCAATGCCCACCAAGGAATATTGAGGTGTTCTAATATTCCATTACCATAAGCAGTTTGCAGGGACATCCTTGTATGTGAGGGCCTCCTTAAGTGTCTATGTCTAAGCGTCTAGGGTGGTGACTAAGAAGGAGAAATGCTAGGCTGAAAGAAATGTACGCTTTTAAATTTACTAGCCATTACAAAATTGTCTTCTGGAAAGGCTTCGCCAATTTATTTTCCCACCCACAATGTCTGCTTTCCTACATCTCCCCTATACTTGATATGATCATTTGTTTAATTTTTTTTTCAATCTCCTGAGAAGAAAATGTCATCTCATTTTTTATTGTTGTTCTGATTAACGAAGAGTTTGAGTGTCTTTCTATATGTTTATTAGCCAAAAAATGGTCCTGTAACTCTGTGAGGGAGGCAGTGAGTGTAACATCACTCACAAAGGCTCAGCAGATAGAATTGGAGAGGATGGACAAGAATAAGTGGAAAGGGGATATGTTTTGAAGGAAGACTATAAATCAAGGTGAAATGCAAGGGTGACCTATTGTTGAAAAGTTTTGGCTTTTTGTTTTTGTTTTTGTTGTTTGCACTACCTCATTAGTGGGAAGATAGGAAATCTGGACTAACTGTTGTTGTTGTTTTGTTGTTTGTTTTTTTTAAATAGTTTATTGTCAAGTTGGTTTTCATATAACACCCAGTACTCATCCCACAAGTGCCCATCACCCCCCTTCCCCTCCCCCCATCCCCGTAAACAGTGGGGGAGAGGGAGAGAGGCAAAGCATGAGAGACTCTTGAATGCTGAGAACAAACTGGACTAGTTGTTGCTAACTTAAGGGAAGCTAGATGCCAAAGATCTAAACCTTCTTTGTCCATGGCATGGAGTAAAGGTAGGAGGTCTTTCCTGGCAGAAGAGAAAGTAGCAACTAGAAAAATGATGGAGAGCGGGCAAGGAGTTTTCAAAATGTTATCATTCATTCCATTTAAATCTTGGGCTATTTTACATTCAATTGCAAGGGAACAAGAGGTCATCTTGATGTTTTACCCTCTTCTGTAATATCCCAGATAATTTTCATTTCACTCCTCCTTGATAAATCCTGGAGGAGGAAGAATACTTGCAGCAATATCTAGAGGCTGCACTGCTGGGGAGGAGCTGGTTATAAGAAGGTCTATTTCTGTGTAACCTTTACTCATTATGGAAGAAACCAGGACTTATTGAACATATATTATATGCTGGTTCAGTGCCAAGCTGTTCTCATGGGCCACTTCATTCAATTCCTCTTTAGCAAATGCTCATATCCCTATTTTGTGCAACTTTCCCAAGGCCACACTGCTCTCAGGTGCCAGATGCAGGAAGTCTAGCTCTGAGTCCAAGCTCTTAGATATTATTTTATTTTGTCTTGCCTTCCTGTCTGAAATAAAAGGTTGTGGTCTTTCCATTTACTGTCCTCTCATCCCATTGGTTGTAATGAAACATTTGTAATAATAATTGCACTTCATATATGCAATTATGTGTTAGGTGCTGGAATAAGGGTATTTAATGTGCATTTTCTTTTTTAAATCTCACAGTGACCTTCTGATCACATACAGATATTATACCCATTTTAGAGATAAAGAAATGGAGGGTCAAAGAGTGTATTAGAGTAGCTGACATCTACTGAAGCTTCTGTTTTAACACTGCTCATGTTAAGTGCATTATTTCATTTGGCTTTTCACAAAATCCTATGAGATAGACACCGTTATCGCCTCCATTTTAGAGTTCATGAAGGTTATATAATTTATCTGGTAAATGATGGCCCGGGTTTAACCCATGTCTGTTCAGCTCTGCTGCCATGTTAACACTATACTGTGCTGCTTCCCCCCACCTCCCCTCCCCAGCCTGGAGCCACTTACAGAATAAGTCAGGATAAGTTCTACTTCCTCATTCACAGGAAAATGCTTTCAGCTCCTTTCAGAGAGCCTACATGACTCTATGGGGTATCTTTCCCTGGCCAAATATCCCTGATTCCTTTCTCATTTCTTCATGTAATTTTGGATGGCAAGCCTTCCATGGAAAAGCTGGTTTAAATCCTTCAATAATATCTGGTCAAAATTATTATTCCCTAAGTCAGCATTACCCAGAGAGATAATTCTTCACCCTCAATCCATGGCTCCCTAGAATGGAGTTGAGAGATGTAGAGTGACTTGCCCAAGATCATAGAGCTGGGCAGAGGGAGAGCTGGGACTCATACCAGTCCTCAGAGATTTTAAATTGTGTCTGTGTTCTCCTGGGTGGAGTTGTCTGTGGATGGACCAGGGGTGGTATGAACCCAATGAAATTACATATATAGTTATGTGTGTCTATCTGAACACACACTTTTCTGAGGGAAAAGTCTAGGATATATCTTTAGATTCTCCAAGAATACTACAAAGCTCCAAATGGTTTGGAACCACAATTCAAACACAAACAAGCAACAATAAAAACTCTCATAGGTTTCTCTCCTCCCCATCCCCCTGCTCCCAGCTAAAAGTCTATTTGAAGAATGCAAACTCTGACCCCTCCAGGTGCCTAGGAACTCAAATCATTCCATCCAGCCTGAGAGTTAATTTCATTTCTTTCTTGGCAGCAGAAATTTGTGAAATTGTTCCAATTTCCTCCCTCAAGACCTAGACTCTACTGGGGAGGGACTCTGAAGCCATAATCAGATGGCCTGACATTAAGTCTGCCACCGATTATGCCTCCTATTCCTTTACTGCCTCAGTAACATCTCAGATCCTTTCTTTCTAGTCTTTTATCCTCACAGCCTCCGAGGTAGCTTTGGGTAGGGGTTGAAAGAGCTCACTGGGGAGACTGAAGGCTCGGCTTATATCCCAGCTCCACCATTTTGTGTTTCTTTTGTCTTTTAGAGCCTCAGGTGAGTTACTTGTTCTGTTCTTTTCTAAACCTCAGTTTCCCCAAAATGTACAGTGATGATAATATTAGTACTTATTTCATAGGACTGTTAAGTGAGGAAATGCTTGAGAAAAACACCTAGTACCTTATTCCTGGCTAGTAAATGATAGTCATCATGCCCTATTCTCATTTCCTGCCTTCTTTACACATCTGCTATTCCTACTCACACCTTCATTTTTAAGCCACTCTGGCAGGCTAACAAGAGGCCCCTTCCACCAGCTCCCAACTGACTTGCTGTTGCTTATAAGCACACAGGCACTTTTGGTTTTATGATTTTTTAATATACTAATCACACCAGGGAAACAGCCAATGAGTGACAAAATTACAAACCTGGGAAAGTTACAAAAGGTTTTAAAATCTCACGGTAGTAATTCTCTACTTGTTATTGGAGTAAATCTGAGATTCTGAAAGCTCTTCGCTGACTCCCTGTTAGATGGCTCTAGAGAATTCTTAATTATTGGTTTTATTCCTGCTTATGGATACCT